TTCCCACACCACAATCTACAAACAACAAGTACTATATGTTAATTTTCAATTAATACAAGCACTATTAACTATCAATAACCTCCAAATTCTCCCACTTCTCTCACTCATATTCTCAATAAATAGACTTGTCAAGATTAGAATTTGTTCACTTCATCCCTTTGAGTCTCTTTCTAACTCTATCACAATATAAAACTCAATATCTCAATTTATCACACTTCAACACCCTATGATCAAGTTGGGGCTTGATCCAAAATTCACCAAACAAAAAAGTAGCTTCCTATTACCACATATCCAGGATCAATAAACCTAAATTAAACCTTTAGAGTTAATAAAAACCTTCAAAATATTAACTCATGGCTTAATCCCATCAGACCAAATTCTCACTCTTCCAAATCACATGGAAAATGAGATAAAAAGTTAGAGGAGAAGGGTAGAAAACTTACCTAAGAGTTTGAAGGCTCAAATCATCTTCAAAATTCTCCTAAATTGATGCCTTAGCAGTATCCAAAGTTGCCCCCTTCGTGCTCTAGGCTTTCCACCCCAAAACTATCCATTTCTGATGACTCTCGAAAATTTAAGTTGCCTGCTGTGCCGTGCGCCACAGCGCATGCCAAGCAAGCTGTGGCTTATGATGCAGCGAGCAAAAACTTGATTTTGCTCCCCCGATGCCTCCCGACTTGATCCAACTTTCATCCTATCTCAATTTAGAGCCAAATATAATTCAAAAATCCAATTAGCCACCCAAAAACATAATTAAATAAATTAATCATATTTTTAACTAATTTATCCCTTAATTAATCCATTTTTCCAGATTTGAAGTTTTAGAATGTTACATTTCTTCTTCCCTTCCCTTTCTCATTTATGGTTATTTATGGTAGGGTTTAAGTTGGGAGATAGATTTTTAGTCCATTAGAGTAAGGGTCCAATTCCATTGGTTAAAATGAGATAAATGAGAGTGATTTAATGTATTGGAAACCCACATTGATGATTTTAAAAGTGGTTGGTCCATAGGAGCATTTAATATCTGAAAACTAATATTTATGAGGTAGTTGGGAGAGGTTAATGTGAAGTAATGATAGTTTGAGCTGTTATTAATGATAATGTACAATAATAGAATCTAATGAGCCCATTAGGTATGGGTAGTGGTTATGAGTTGATAAAATAGTGTATGAAGAGTTTTTATATTGTTAAAGCTTAAAGAGCTAGATGATGATATCCTAATGATTTGGTTATAGAGAAGTTTATTTTGGCATCTTTCAAGCTTGTTGAAGCTTGGGAAAGTTGCTACAGTGAGGGGCAAACATTTGACCTCTCAAAGGTTTGAGGTAACCGGGGGAAACTTAATTTTTTATAGTTAAATATTAATTATGTTGTAAAATGTGATTTGTGAGATAATTTGATGATGCATATTAGCAAATCCTTGAGTATGAAATGCTCTTCAGAAAGAGAAACCTTGATTCTACCACCCTTGATATTTTATAAAATTAATTGTAACTTATTACTATGGGTCGAGAATTGTGATGAATTATGTGTTAAGATATGGAATATACGTGTTATGTGAGTTTATGTGTTGAGTAATGAATGTTGAAATGCATAAAATGTGTGAAATGTGTATGGCATGATCATTGGCGGGAGTTTGCTTGGGGAGAGGAGTAGTTTGATTTGAAATCCATGTGGTAATGGCAGTAACCATTGGAATCGATAACTAACCTTGGCACTGACTATTGGAATCGGGCTATCCATAATTGATTTGGGACTATCCCACTTTTCTACGAGGGATTTAAACCTAACTAGTCTCCACCAGTTCATGAGGAGGTTAAACTAGGGATACGACACCATATGGTTGTTAGTATTGAGGAAAACTGGATTACATAAGTGAGTGAGTTAACTCTAGCCCAGTAGCTCCTCACAAGTGGAAGGCTAGGTTAGTTCGTGAAGGATGTAGCCACATGATAGCCACCGGTTTCGTGTCAGAGGTAACAGGAGGATATAAGGTTGGCACATGATCACGCACATAAGTTCGGCCACATAGTTATTAGTATTGTAGTCCAGCACATGTTAAGGGTGCATGGTTGTTACTTGTGTGATCCTGAGTTATGTTTTTGAAAACAACATGATATAGCGTTTTGTGGCAAGCCCTATCACATGGTTGTTAGTTTTGTGAACCATGGCCCAATACTATGTAATATATGTGTTATATGCTTATTTGCATCTATTTACAATTAATATGTAACTATAAGAGTTAAGTGAAACTTGGTTATTGTGTGGTTGCACTCACCGCTCAGTTCTCAATATTTTTAGGAACTACCTTATCGGATCCAAGTCAGGAAAAACACACAGAGACTTAGAATTTATGGAGTAAATCCTTTTTATGTCTCTCGTTAGTTGTTTTCATGTGTATTTGTTAATGTAATTGCCAACTAGGAGTTAATTGTCATGATAGGTGTACTACTTACATGATTTTGTGTTTAACTAGTATATTTTGTGCCTTGGGTTAATGAGTTTTTGTTGTGAACCTGTGGATAGGGCCAAATACTTGTGCAAGTAGGAACATATGTATTTTTGAGAAATATGAATGAAATGGTTGATTTTGTGCAACTTTTCCTCCCCCTCTATGTTTTGTGAAAATTAGGGTTGAGTGGTGATTTTATGAAACAAGTGTTTTTGGTTGTGTGTGGTATGCTGCACAAGTCCACAAGAGTCAATTGAGTGTGGTCTAAGAGTTGGTGTAGGCTATTGGCATGTGTGGTTGAGTTGCGACACCCCATTTGGGAAATTTTGTAAAAATGTATCAAAATGGGTTTTAGTATCCAACTTTTAATGGAAAATGAAGTTGAGTGTGAAATTGGTGCCATTAGCTAGAGCTTGGAGGAAGCTCCGTGTAGACACCAAAACCATCTCAATTGGACGTCGGATGGAGATTTGGGACACATTGAAAGTTTGTTTCCTATGCTGTCAAATAACAACACTGATTGTCAAATTTCATGCAATGCACTGCGACATATGGTACCTTACACCATAGTGTATGGCACAGAGGAGACACGCCGCGATGCACAAATCGAAAGTTGTGGCGCACATGTCAAATTCTGTGTAAAAATTTATTTTGAGTATTAAATACTCATTTCTAGGTCCCAATTGATTTTTAAGGTTTTGCTTTTGTTTTAAAACTTTAATTTAGAATCCTTAAATTATATTTGAGATTTGAAATGGAAAATTGAGATTCCTTGGAATAGATTTTGAGAAATTCTTTTATAAACCCTACAGTTTGGTAATTCTTGTAAGTTAAGCCCTGGATTACCATAATTTGGAATTTAGTGTGATTTAACCTCAGGAATGTTACAGTTTGGTATTAGTTTCTCTGGTTCTATGAACTTGATTGTGGATTTGTGAACTATGTGAGAATTTGTTTTGTGAATGGTGAATATGCTTATAGAAAGTTGGCAATTGACATTATACACATGTTTTCCCCTTTGAGCTAGTGTTAACTATTTTCCTTTTGTGAGATAACTTCCATCCTTAGGAGGAGAGAATGGTGCAAACAAGAAATACTGCCGGCAACATTCCGGCAAATGTATCAAGACAAGTGTGGGAAGTCTTAGTACAGGAGGAGAATATTGTCCCTGGTGAGCATGTTGAGATGGGACAAGGCTTGGGTCAAGCTAGAGAGCAACTGAGGCCTACAATGGGCAATGAGAATATATTGTTTGAGTTAAAGAGCATGATGGAAAGAATTGAATAGAGAATAGATGAGCATGATGAGATTCTAAAGAAAAGACTGGAAGAGTCAAGGAAGACCGTAGAGAGAGTTGGCGGTCATGGTGGAGAAAGACTGGAGAGGGGACAAGAAGAGGATTATTATGAAGAGAGTGGATTGAGGAGGCCTGAACCAGTGAGACCCAGAGGAAGAGAGCAAGAGAGCTCTATTGATCTAGCCTTAAAAGAAGTTTATAAGGTCAAATCCTCCATCATTTGAGGGTTCTATGGAGAATAGAGTGGTTGAGAGATGGATAGATTGATTGGAGATGATCTTTTCTATTATGACTTACACGTATGAGTAGTGAGTACTACTTGCTACATTCCTATTTGAGGATAATGCCAAGCAGTGGTGGGAAAGTGTGAGACCGACAGATAGGTCTCCATTGTCATGGAGTGAGTTTAAGAGGAAATTCTTCTCCTACTATTTTCCCACCTCCTTGTGAGCTGAAAAAGAGGCTGAGTTCCACTGATTGCAATAAGGGAACATGAACGAAGAAGAGTTCATAGCTAAGTTCAATGAGTTGTCCATTTACTCGACCTACTTGAGCTATCATGGTGATGAGTATTGAAAGGCTGAGCAATTACTTGAGAAGATGCGGCCTGATTACAGACAGTAGTTGGCACCTTTCGATATTGTCTTATATAGTGACATGTGCAGTAAGTTGAGAGCAGTGAACATACGAGGTCATAAGGTTGTGGATAGCCAGAGGAGAGATGGAAGGGGCCATTTCTCTACATATATAGGGTATTGGAGGTGTTGGCAAGAGCTAGATATAACTCTAGACTATCTGGACTGGGTAATAATGGTAGTAAGAAGAAAAGTTTCCAGAAGGGTTCATATTCTAGAGGTTCCCAGATGAGGAGTAATGCCCCCAAGAGTATGGATGGGCAAAGTCAAGCTTCAAGATAGGATTCTGCTCCTACAGTAGCTGGACTGATTAGAGCCCCACAATGCAGTAAGTGTGGAAGACACTATATTGGAGAATGGTGGACATGTTTCAAGTGCCACAAGGCTAGGCACATTACTCGGTATTGCCTTGAGAACACTCCTCACGTTGATCAGAGGTCTGCTATTCCTAGTTGTGTGTTTGCTATGACAAGGGAAGAGGTTGAAGCTTCCCTGAAGCTTATCTAAGTTACAATTTCTTTAAGCAATCAACAAATTTTTGCTTTGTTTGTTTCTGGTGCCACCCACTTGTTTTTTTTATGAATGTGCACAAAGACTAAAATTGCATGTGGTTGAAATGCCTTTCATGATGAATGTTTCTATACCGGCTGGTGCTTCTGTGAGAACCAGTCAAGCTTGTTTGAAAGTAGAGTTGAAATTTGGTGAAATAGTCATAAGTATTGATTTGATTTTTTTGCCTATGTCAAGAATTTATGTGATAATTGGCATGGATTGGTTGTCTGCTAATAGAGCAACATTAGACTATAATAGAAAGGCAGTTTCACTACCAGTGTGCACGGTGACCACCACAAATGATGGGACTACACTATCTGTACCTATTACTACTCCAAAGACTCCTAAGTTCTTATTAGCAGTACAAGTGGAGAAATTAGTTAAGGAAGGATGTGAAGCTTTTATGGTGTTTTATTTAGTGCACGGAGTATACGATGAAGCAATAGACAAGATAGGAGTTGTCAATGAGTTTCCTGAGGTACTTGCAGATGAAGTGTCTAGATTGCCACCAGAGAGAGAAATTGAGTTCTCAATTGACTTGGTACCTAGTACGGAGTCAATCTCTAAGGCTTCAGTTCGGATGGCTCCAATGAAATTGAATGAGCTTAAGAAGTAGCTAGAGGAGTTTTTGGAGAAAGGATTGATTAGACCTACTTTTTCACCTTAGGGTTTGCCTGTTCTGTTTGTCCAAAAGAAAGATGGTAGCTTGAGATTGTGCATAGACTATCGGTAGCTGAACAAGGTGATAATTAAGAATAAGTACCCGTTATCCTGAATTGATGACTTGTTAGATCAGTTGGCTGGAGTAGTAATATTTTCTAAGATTGATTTGAGATCTGGCTATCACCAGTTAAGAGTGAAAATGGATGATGTGTCGAAGACTGCTTTCAGAACAAGATACGAGCATTATGAGTTTCTTGTTATGCCCCTCAAGTTGACGAATGCACCTACAATCTTTATAGATTATATGAATCGAATCTTTAGGCCCTATTTAGACAAGTTCGTAGTGGTATTCATTGATGATATTTTAATATACTCAGTTGATGAGGAAGAACATGCTAGGCATTTGCGAACTGTGTTGCAAATTTTAAAAGAGAAGAAGCTTTATGTGAAGTTAAGCAAATGTGAGTTCTGGTTGCGTAAGGTAAAGTTTTTAGGCCATATATTATCGGCCAATGGTATTGTAATTGATCCTCATAAGGTGGATGCGGTGCTATAATGGGAAAGACTGACTTCTGTGATTGAGATTCAAAGTTTCTTGGGTCTAGTAGGATATTATAGGAGGTTTATTCAAGAATTTTCCAAGATTGCATCTGCTTTGACCAAATTGACTAAGAAAGATCATCCTTTCATATGGACTGACAAGTGTGAAGAGGCTTTCCAAGAATTGAAGTAGAGATTGATGACTACACCTGTATTGACCATTCTAGATCTAAAATTGCCATTTGTGGTTTATACAGACACTTCGCTTAAGGTCTTGGATGTGTTTTAATGCAAGATGACAGATGACAGAGTTGTGGCATATGCTTTGAGACAATTAAGATCGCACGAGGAGAACTATCCTACCTATGATCTTGAGCTTTTGGTAGTGTTTGTACTTAAGATATGGAGACATTACCTTTATGGTGCGCAGTTTGAGGTACATAGTGACCACAAAAGCCTCAAATATCTAGTTGATTAGAAAGAGTTGCATATGCGGCAGTAGGATGGATAGAGTTCTTGAAGGATTACAATTTTGAGTTAAAGTACCATCCTGGTAAGGCTAATGTAGTAGCTGATACGTTGAGCTAGAAGACGCTACATGTAGCATTCTTGATAATGCAAGAGCATAAGATGCTAAAGGATTTCTCCAATGAGCACAAGAATGTTCCCAATTTCACATCATACAACTTAAATGTCATGGTGATTACAAGTGAATTCTGGAAAGAATTTAGAAAAGCACAATTAGAAGACGAGTATTTGTTAGAAATCTAAGAGGACATTGAGGAAAATGGAACAGCAACTTTTTGTTTCAGTGATGATGGCTTTGTGTTATATCACAACCATATATATGTTCTTGATGATAAGGAGATTAGAGAGACTATACAATCAAAAGCTCACAAGAGTAAGCTAACAATTCACCTTGGTACCACTAAGATGTACCAAGATATGAAGAAGCGATGGTAGTCGTAGGGAATGAAGCAGGATGTAACTGAGTTCATTTCTAGGTATTTGACATGTCAGAACGTCAAGATAGAACACCAGATTCCAACTAGGCAATTGCAACCCTTGGAAATGCCAATGTGGAAATGGGATAGTATGTCTATGGATTTTATAATGGGATTGCCTCTTACCCAGGCGAGTCATGATGCTATATAGGCAATTGTGGACAGACTGACTAAGCAGCTCACTTCCTAGCCATTAGAGCAGATTATACCTTAGAGAGATTTACTGAGGTTTATGTCCAAGAGATAGTATAGTTGCATGAGGTACCGAAAGAGATTGTGTTATATCGCGATTTAGGTTCACATCAAACTTCTGGAGAGCTTTACACCAGGCTTTGGGTACTAAATTGAAGTTTAGTACGGCCTATCACCCATAGATTGATGGACAAACTAAGAGAATGATTCAAACTCTTGAGGATATGTTACGAGCGTGTGCTATTGAGTTTAGTAAAAGTTGGGATAAACACTTACTGCTTGCAGAGTTTACTTATAATAACAGCTTTTACGCAAGTATTTAGATGGCTCCATATGAAGCTTTATATAGTTGAAAGTGTCAATCACTTATTTGCTAGAGTGAGTTAAGTGAGAGAAGTGTTTTGGGTCCAAATTTGGTGGATTTAACCACAGAGAAGATAGAGGTAATTTAACAGAAGTTGTTGACTACCCAAAGTCGGCAGAAGAGTTTTGCAGATAAGAGAAGGAGGCTGCTAGAGTTTATGGTTGAAAACCATATATTCGTGAAGGTATCATCGATGACTGGTATTGGGAGGTCTATTCTAGCCAAGAAGTTGACTCTCAAATACATTGGTCCGTTTGAGATTCTAGAGAGGATTGGGCCATTGGCATATTGGATTGCATTAACCCCACATTTGTTGAGTGTACATGATGTGTTTCATGTCTCACAACTCAAGAAGTACCAACCCAATTGGTCTCACATTATTGAACCACAAGAGGTAGTTACAGGAGAGTTTGACTTATCAAATTGAGTTGGAAAGGATAGCTGATGTGAAAAATAAGCAGCTAAGAAATAAGATTATTCGTTTAGTGAAAGTGATATGGAAGGGAATGACTCCCGGTAATGCCACTTGGGAAACGGAGGAGAAAATAAGGCAACAGTATCCCTATCTTTTTAGTTTTGTAAGATTTATATGATTTACCAAATTTAGAGGATAAAATTCTTAAAAGGAGGGGAGAGTTGTAACATCTAAAAAATTTTAACCTTGATTTATTAACTTAATTAGGGTAGTTAGTGAGTTAATGAGGTGTGTGGCCAGAGGGGCTTAACTTTGTATAATTGTTGTGATTTCAGCCCTAGAAGTGGGTTTGGATTGATGACGGGCCACCTAAGCAAGGAAAGAAAATGAAAAAGTGAAGAGTTATGTCCTGTGCCACATGTCGCGGTGCGTGGTTGGTCTGCTGTGATGCACAGACACAATTTAAATGTAATGGGCTCCTCTGTCCCATGTGTTACGGTGTAGGGCAACATGGACCGCGGCGCACGGCCAAAAATCTGATTCGTGAGCTGTGTGAAAACAGAAGAGGAAGAGAGGAGGAAAACAAAGAGCTTGGTTTTGGCTCTTTTAGGGCATGATATTTGGCCCCATTAAGGATTGATTGAAGCTCCTAAACATCCAAGGTAAGATTATGGTGCTTTCTTCTTCCCTTGCCTCTCTCATTTATGATTATTTATAGTAGGGTTTGAGTTTGGAGACGGATTTTTAGTCCATAAGAGTATGGGTCTGATTCTATCAGTTAAAATGAGATTAATGTGAGTAATTTAATGTATTGGCACACTACATTAATGATTCTAGAAGTGGTTGGTCTATAAGAGCAGTTAATATCTAAAAATTGATATTTATGAGGTAGTTGGGAGAGGTTAATATGAATTAATGATGGTTTAAGGTGTTATTAATGATAATGTGCATTAATGGAATCTAATGAGCCTATTAGGTATGATGGATAGTGGTTATGAGTTAGGAGTTTTTATATTGTTAAAGCTTAAAGAGCTAAATGATGATATCTTTATGATTTGGTTGTAGAGAAACGTCTTGGCACCTTTCAAACTTGTTGAAGCTTGGGAAAGTTGCTATAGTGAGAGGTAAACCTTTGACCTCTCAAAGGTTTGAGGTAACCGGGGGAAATTTAATTTTTTATGGTTGAATATTAATTATGTTGTAAAATGTGGTTTGTGAGATAATTTGATAATGCATATTGGCAAATGCTTGAGTATGAAATGGTTTGAGAAAGAAAAACCTTGATTCTACCACCGTTGATATTTTATGAAATTAATTGTAATTTATTACTATGGGTAGAGAATTGTGATGAATTATGTGTTAAAATGTGGAGTATATGTGTTATGTGAGTTCATGTGTTGAGTAATGAATGTTGAAATGCATAAAATGTGTGAAATGTGCATGGTATAATCATTAGCGGGAGTTCACCTAGGGAGAGGAGTAGTTTGATTTGAAATCCACATGGTAATGGCAGTGATCGTTGGAACCGAGAACTAGCCTTAGCACCAACCGTTGGAATCGAGAGATAGCCCTTGTCTCGTAGTTGATTCGGGACTGTCCCACTTGTTTTATGAGGGACTTGAACCTAACTAGTCTCCACCGGTTCATAAGGAGGCTAGATTAGGGGAACGACACCTCATGGTTGTTAGTATTAGGGGAAACCAGATTACATAAGTGAGTGAGTTAACCCTAGTCTGATAGCTCCTCACAAGTGAAAGGCTGGGTTAGTCCGTGAAGGATGTACCCACGTGATAGCCACCGGTTTCATGTCAGAGGTAATAGGAGAATATAAGATTGGTACATGATCACGCATATAAGTTCAGCCATATGGTTGCTAGTATTGTGGTTCGGCACATGTTAAGGCCCCATGTTGTTTTTGAAAACAACATGATATAGTGTTTTGTGGCAAGCCCGATCATACGGTTATTAGTTTTTTGAACCGTGGCCTAATACTATGTGATATATGTGTTATGTGACTATTTGCATCTATTTACAATTAATATGTAATTGTAAGGGTTAAGTGAAATTTGGTTACTGAGTCTTTGTACTTAGCCCTCAATTCTCAATATTTTCAGGGACTAGCTCATTGGATCCAAGTTGAGAAAAACATACAAAGACTTAGGATTTATGGAGTAAATCCTTTTTTGTCTCTCTTTAGTTGTTTTCATGTGTTTTTGTTAATGTAATTACCAACTAGGAGTTAATTGTCACGATAGGTGTACTACTTACATAATTTTGTGTTTAACTAGTATATTTTGTGCCTTAGGTTAATGAGTTTTTGTTGTAAACCTGTGGATAGGGCCAAAATACTTGTGTCAGTAGGAACATATGTATTTCTAAGAAATATGAATGAAATGATTAATTTTGTGCAACTTTTCCTCCCCCTCTATGTTTTGTGA